GGCCCTGAGGGACTTCCTGGGACAAGAACTGTTACTTCATTGATCTGAGTCCAGAAACACAAAATTAAGTTCATCCAGAGACTTTCTAAGTGTGTCCTGCACTGATCAATTGAAAGAACACTCTCTTTTTTATTATCATTACTATTTTACAAATGTCTTGATAATCAAAAGTGTGTTTAGTTCAAACCATTTTAAATGTTGAAGTGAACTACTCATTTTAAATCAACTGTGAAACAGTATAAATGATTTTTAATCCTCATTCAAAGTAGAAATCAAGTTAATGTTTGTTACAAGAGTAATTATGCATTTTGATTTTCTGTCTGAAATGAGCAAGTTGTAAGTCGGTCAAAAGTCAAGTTTCGGTCAAAAACATGTTATTGGAAAGAAATGTCATGTTTAACTTTTTCAGACAGATAGGAGGAGAACTGGCTCCAAAAAGTCTCTGTTTCTTCAAAACATCTTTCTGTCTGTTCTTAAAACATCTCTTTATCTGTTCCTAAACATTAAATTGTTTTTCTGACTTCTAGTGACCTCTTACGTCACCAAAACCACACCCCTGATTGGTTCTATCAGCCAATCAGGAAGTTCTCAGAGGAACCGGAAGTGACCTCTTTAAAAGGGTCAACACTTCCTAGTTCCAGTAGAACAACGAGAACAACGGGAACTAAGCTGAACAAAGTTCAGTTCGGAACGTAGAATGCAGTTCGGAACGCAGATGCAGAACAAAGTTCCGAGTCTCGTGGGGATTATGGAATCTTCCACATCTGAGTGGAACCTCTGACGGACTTACTCCTCATGTGAGTCCACTCGAGAGGTGAGCTGCTGTTAAACGAAGTACCGTCACTACTCCGGACGTTTTCCAACCATCCTACGGAGACGCTGGAAATGGTAGCGTTAAATGGAACTCCGTACCAGCTGATTCATCTTCAGAGAGGTAACGAGTCTATTTCCTACCGAAGCGTACCGAGGTATAGCTGGGTTCGAATGGAGAGTGCCGTTCGTTATACAGACACATATTCCCTCATCCATCTTTCCCTCTCCATTTAAACTCCTTCATTTCCCATCTTTAAAACTCTTCTATCTGCCAGTAATCATCCAGATATTTTCAGAAATGTCTGTTGGTTTAAAAGCTGCAAGTGGAAACCATGGCCGTATGGTTCCCATTGTAAAGCTTGCTAATTAAGCTATGTGTTATTGTAATCAATTTTGCCAAATTAATGTAAATGTTTGATGTTAAATTTTGATTCTGTTAATAAATGACCACGTTCATTTTGATGGGTCAAAGAAAATTAACGTCTCACGTCACATTTAATCATTCAATGCACGATAGAACTCAGTCCAGAAAAATGAAAGAATCCATTTAATTTATGAATAATATCAACAGATATAGTTCATTACATGAGTGACCGGAAGTGAGAACTCTTTAAAAGTCCACACTTCCTGGAACTACTCAGTCTACAGAGTCTACGGAGTCTACTGGATCTTCTGCAGTATACTGAGTCTACTCCGCCTTGTGGAGTCTTCCACTCCTGAGTGGGATCTCTGACGGACTCACAGATGCTTGCTGTGAATCCATCCGGGTGTAACGCCTCCAACTTCGAAGAGAGCTGGTCCTGTTTGTTGAACGGAGTAAATCGACATGACTTCTGACCAGCCGCTCTTACTGGAGACGCTGGAAGGTAGCGTTGAAATGGACCCGACACCGGAGCTGATTTATCTCCTGCGAAGGTAACGAGTCGTGACGTGCTAAGTGTACCGGAGGTTTGAGCTGGTGTTGGAAGAAGCGTGCCATCCTGGTCCAAACAGACACCTCCCTTCACCCATCTTTTCTCTTCACCCATCCTTCTTTTAAACTCTTCTATTTTGCCAGTAATCTAGATGCCTTCAGAAATGTCTTGTTGTCTTATTAGTAAAGCGTGCCAAGTTTTATTAATCAGAACCAGATCAGCTAATCACGTGTACATGTTTTGATATTAAATTTTGATTCTGTTAAATAAATTACCACATTTATTCTGACGGGTCAAAGGAAAATTAACGTCTCTTGTCACTGATTAAACAATCATCACAGTTACCTCGTCACATGGCATTAATTTAACTTGAAAAAGAGAGAACCTGTTATATTTAAATAATTAGTAGTGAAGGTACAGCAAAGCTGACCTTGACACACTACACATGCATCAGGACATAAATTGTATCATTTAGAACTGGCTCCAGGTGATGTGTCTCGTCTGTCCTCTTCAACCTGTTAAAAAGACAAATTACATTAAGTTTGTTGTATAACTTCTCTAGAAAAGTATTAGTATGAGAAATAACAGTTACCTTTGAGCTGCAGCTGCATCAGAGCTTCTCTCATCCGTTGTGTCATGGTGAAGTTGTGGTGCTGCCTTATGGCAAAAAAAAAAAAAAAGTTATGTGAAGGAATAACGTACGTTGCTTATAGTCATATTAAAAATAAATCTAAACCCCTCACCTTCCACTGAGCTGTTTGCTCGAAAATTCTTTGTGATACAGCAGGAGATGGAGAGGGAACTCTTCAGAGCCTTTGGAGAATCAGCTGGAAGTTTGTTGCAGAGTTCACTGGTCGGCTGCTTCGCTTTCATCTTTCACGCATTTTGTCGTATTTCCAAAATACTGTCCCGCAATTTTATTTTAAACTTCTTGTAAACAACTGTGCTCTTGTTAAGCTCTGTGTTCACCCGGAACATTGTAGGATCTGAAAAATTTTTTAAAGACGAAGCAGCGAGTTGAATCGCGCCGTCTCCCTCCTCCGTACTAGCAGGCTCCATTCAGATAAAGGGAGCTGGCTAACTAGCTTGCTGTATAGTGGCCTACATGGCCAAAATTCTACGGCAGCCGAGCGGGGAGTAAGAATTTAAAACGTATTTTAAAATCGATTTATGGGCCTTTAGAAACGATTCAGAATTGCTAGGACTAAGAATCTAGATTCTTTAAAAAAAAAAATCTATTTTTTTTTCTGCACCCCTAATGAGAACGCTTAGAAAAATTTGGGTTTTCCAAAGATGTAATATGTACCATCCAGGGGGCACGCGCAAAATCCACTACGACTGTTTACGCTTCTAAATGGGCTGCTTTTCAGCGATGGTGCCTAGAAAAGGAGGTGGACCCGACTTCATGTCCTCTGGGCTGCATTTTGTCCTCCCTGCAGCTGCTGTTGGGACAGAAATTTAGCTTTAAGCACAATTAAAACTTATGCGGCAGCACTCTCCTCCTGTCATGAAGGTTTCAACAATAGAACCGTTTTCAATCACCCTTTAACAAAACGGTTTCTGAAAGGTGTGCGCCGGCTCAGGCCAGTGACACGCGCCGTGGCACCACAGTGGGATTTAGTCTTCGTTCTCAGTGTACTCACTAAAAATCAGTTTGAGCCTCTGGACTAGATACCTTTGAAGCATCTGTCACTCAAAACAGCCTTGTTATTAGCTCTGACATCAGCTAAAAGAGTGAATGACTTGTCAGGTCTGTCCATCGCTCCTTCTTGTCTCAGAATTCAAGGAGACGGGAGCTCAGCAGAACTCCAACCAAATCCTGCTTTTATACCCAAAAGCATAACAAGTTCGTTCAGGTCCAGAGTCGTTACACTGGACGGATTCTGTCCCCCTCCCCATAAAACTACAGAGGAGGAACAGTTTCACCTGCTCTGTCCAGTACGTGCACTCAGGTGTTATGTGACACGCACAGCTGCGATGCGTAAATCCGATCAGTTGTTTGTACATTTCAGAGAACGATCACAGGGTCAGCCTTTATCTTCCCAGCGTCTGTCACATTGGTTATGTGAAACTATATCACAAAATTATAGTTCTTCTGGCCTTCAACCGCCTGAAGGACTCAGGGCTCATTCCACCAGGGGATTTCTACCTCCACAGCTCTGCACAGAGGGGTGTCTGTGCAGGACATCTGCTCTGCGGCTTCATGGTCATCACGACCCCCATCTTCCGTTTTTATTTACGAGATGTCTCCAGCTGTTCACTGACACATTCAGTTCTCAGAGTTATGGCTGAGTCATTCTTCACAATCACACAACAAAAATAAATTATCTGTCATTATTAGTGGGTGTTTTTCTATAATTACTCGTTCAAACAGGAAAATTCCTTCTTCCTCATTAGAAATTTTTCCTTCTCTTATTCCTGTATTGCCTGATGTGAATAAACATTCCTTCAGTTAAGATCAGGCACAGAGGCTGCACACCTGTAATCCAGTACGCACCAGGTGCATGGATCAATGGTGTGTAATTACGCTTGAATAAAGAATGAGGTTTAGGTGGATATCAGGGAGTTTTTGATGGTTCTCGGACAGACCCAGTGAGGCATGGACCATATCCTGCTCCGCCCTTTAAACCCAATAGCGACAGCTTTTAAAGGGCGTAGCTTACATGAAATAGAATGTTGGTTATGTATTGTAACACCAGATTCTCTGAGTGTAAGCGTAGCCATTTAAAAACTGGGCCTCACTGGCTCTCAAAAGGCTGAAGAAAAAGAGTAAGTCTTTGGGAGTCGAGCTCCGGTCCAGATGCAATTTATAACGGACCGGGTGGGGCCCACACATCAGGTGGGCGTGGGCTAGAAGTTTTCAGTGTTCGGCGCGCTGCACGCAGGTAAACCCAATAGCAACAGTCTTTGAAGGGCTACGCTTCCACTCATAGAATCTGGGGTTACAATACGTAACCAACGATTTTCACCATCAGATAAAAACAAACAGATCAAGTGTTTACATGCGCACTGTTCAGGTAAATCGGCGTAAACCACCCGTTTCATTCTGATCACAAATTATTTCGAATCACGCTGAATAAACAAAAAATAACCTGAACGGGGTGTTTACATGACGCGTTTTTATTCCAAACGGCCGTTTGATCCGATTACTTATGTCCATGTAAACATGAGCACTGTGGAGACCCTGAAGAGGGAAAAGCTGAAAGAAGAAAAAAAATGGATGGAGAAAAATGACCCAGAATGAGGCTCTACGTGTCCTTCAGCAACATGTACCCAGGTAGAATCCGTAGGTGGTGTTCTTGTATTCCTCCCAGCTGATCTTGTCGTCCTGGTTCTTGTCGTAGTCCTTCCAGTGCTTGTTGACGTTGTCCTGGATGTATCTCCTCTGTCTGTGTTTGATCCAGTGGTGCAGCTCGGCGTGGTTGATGTAGCCATCCTTGTCCACGTCAATGCGATCCACAATCTTCCTGTGGAGACAGAAGACACTGGTTAAGCTGAAGGACATGGATCTTTGCAGCTCCACAAATTCTGTTGACAAAATCTAAAGAAATAAACCTGCAGATCAACAAAGTCCATGCTCAATAATCCAGGTATAAAATCCAACATTTTTCAGTCAGGTCATCTGGACAGTTTCTTTTTTTGTGCCAAAACGTTTTGCCTTTGATCCGGAAGGCTTCAGTCAAGGGAACACACAACAAAACTGATTCCCCCCCCCCCCCCCCCCCAACAGCTTACTCCAAAGTGGAACAAACCAGTTCTGCTTGTGATAAGATGGTGTCTTTGGTACGCCCCTCCTCCTCTGCCGACCGACCTGACTGATAAATGTTGGATTGTATACCTGGATTATTGAGCATGGACTTTGTTGTTTTCAACCAGTTTTGACAAGACTGTAAACAAGGAAGAGGGCCGGCAATGGAGGAGGGGGCGTACCAAAGAGACCATGAACATTGAACTTGTGACTTCTCTTTTCACATGCATACCCATCTCTGAAGCAGTAGAAACCGTCAGAAAACAACTTCTACAAGACAAGGACTTAATCAACAGGACCAACTTCACCCCAGACCAGATCTGCACCCAGTTGGATCTCTGCCTCTCCACCACTTATTTCAAGTTCAATGACAGTTTTTACAGACAGAAGCACGGCTGTGTCATGGGATCTCCAGTGTCACCCATTGTTGCCAATCTCTACATGGAGGAAGTGGAACAGAGAGCCCTACACTCCTATGAGGGAACAACGCCAAGCCATTGGTTCCGTTATGTGGATGACACCTGGGTCAAAATCCAAGCCAAGGAAATAGAAGCGTTCACCAGACACATTAACTCGGTCGATAACAACATCAAGTTCACCAGAGAGGATGCAAACGACAACAAGCTGCCTTTTTTGGACTGTTTGGTTCAGATGGAGAGAGAGGACAGCCTCAACATTGAAGTGTACAGGAAACCAACCCACACAGACCAGTATCTTCTGTTTGACTCCCACCATCCACTGGAACACAAACTCTCTGTCATCAGAACTTTACAACATCGGGCCAAATGCGTCCCCACGAAGACAGAAGGGAAGGAAAAGGAACTGAAACACGTTCAAGAAGCTCTTCAAACATGTGGATATCCTAACTGGGCTTTTGTCAAGTCAGAGAGGAAATCTACAAAACACACCAATAAACAGAAAAAGGAGAACAACAGACGTAAAAACATTGTCATCCCTTATGTTGCTGGAGTATCAGAGAAATTCAGAAGGATCTTCAACAAACACAACATCCCAGTACATTTCAAACCCAGCAGGACTCTCAGACAGAGGCTGGTCCACCCTAAGGACAAAACACCCATACACAAACAGAGTGGTGTAATGTATGCGGTCCAGTGCAGCGAGGACTGTCCAGACCTCTACATTGGAGAAACTAAACAGCCTCTTCACAGACGCATGACTCAACACAGGAGATCCAGCTCCACAGGACAAGACTCAGCTGTTCACCTCCACCTCACAGATAAGGGACACTCTGTTGAGGACCAAAATGTGCACATTTTGGACCGAGAACACAGATGGTTTGAGAGGGGGGTGAAGGAAGCAATTTATGTAAAAAGAGAAAAGCCGTCTCTTAACAGAGGAGGAGGCCTCAGATTCCCACTTTCAAAAACATAAAATGCAACTTTAAAACAGTATGCTGGTGAAGATTCTCAGTCATCCAGGACATGATGATGATTTTTGTATTGAACGCTTTTTGAACTTTAAAACAGATTCCCAGCCGCTTTTCACACCTGATGGGAACAGAGGGGCCTCGACTGTGAATTAGAGGAACAAAAGACTCTTATTGTTAATGTTGTTTAGGTGTGAATTGCCAATCTACATATGTGTGTGTGTCTTATCTCACTCAGCCTTAGAACCTGTATCTCTCACTCTCTGCCCTTTGAATTGAGAAAGCTCCTCGGATGAGGAGCGAAACGTCTTCTGTTACAAATAAAGTCCAGTTGTTTTTGTATTGAACGCTTTTTGAATTACAGATGGTATGCATTCTTACTCAACAGATAAAGTTATAGTTGAGGGTGATTTTAATTTGGTGCCCGATCTATGATTAGACAGAAATCCACCTCGGGTCCACTGTCATAAATATGATGACCTGATTGTTTAGTTAATGAATAGTGCAAATTTGATTGATTATTGGAGAGTTAAACATCCTGGGACTTGTCAGTTTTCCTGGTTTAATGCCTCGGGAATGGTCTAAGTTCTAGAATACTGGCTGGCTCATTTCTACTTCTTTGAGAAATCATATTAATAAGTGTGAGATATCTGCTGCACCTTTAACTGATCATTGTGTTATTTCTCTGTCTCTTCTGTTTTCAAGGTCAGATCCTGGTCTAACTCATGTTTGGAAATTCAATAATACTCTTTTGCAGAATTCTGTTTTTGGTGAAGATGTCAGGCAGCTGGTGGTGGAGGTCAATGCCTTGGAAATATCAGCTGTGAGTAAATGGGAATGGTTCAAATTTAAAATAAGGGAGCTGGCTATTGATACAAGTAAAAAACTGTCTAAACTGAAACAACAACAACAATTTAATATCATTACAAATATTAATAGACTTCTGATGCATGCTCAATAATCCAGGTAGAAAAATAAAAAAAAAATCAAGCTGGTCCTCTGGACATTCAAGAAAACAAAAAACAAAACAAAGCAAAAAAATATAGAATATAGAATCTCTATTTTTTTGCTTTGTTTTGTTTTTTGTTTTTTTGAATGTCCAGAGGACCAGATTGAACTTTTTTGGATTAATAGTCTTAGTAAAAAGACGGATCTGTCACCTGAAGAACTTGTTGAACTAAATAAATTACAGAGTGAACTAGATAAATTATATGAAGAAAAAACTAAAGGTGCTTTTATACGTTCGAGCTCGCTGGATTGAAGAAGGGGAGAAAAATACATCTTATTTTTTCAACCTGGAAAAACACAGGCAACTAAAAAAGAAGATCACTAAATTGAATATAAATGGATCTGTTTCTGAAGATGAAACTCAGATTAATAGAGAATTACACAATTTTTACAGTAACTTATACAAATCCAACTACTCTGAAACAAACTGTTCAGCATTTATAAACACCATAAAAGAATTCAATAAAGTAATTGATGTAGATTTTAAACAATTTATGGATAAACAAATTGAACGTGAGGAGTTGGATAAGGCTATTTTGAAGATGTCTACTGGCTTGGATCTTGGGCTAACAACTGAATTTTATAGATTTTTTTTGGAGAGAGATTAGAGAGATGCTTTATAAAACTTTCTTAGACTGCATCTCGACAGGTAACCTCTCTAATACTATGAAACAAGGGATAATCACCTTAATCCCAAAACCTAATAAAGATGTGCAAATGCTGGATAACTGGAGACCCATCACTCTGCTATGCACAGATTATTAAATTTTAGCTCATGTTTCTGCTGATCGGCTGAATAGAGGACTTAAAGATATAATTAACAAAGGCTGATTGACTTTCATCAAAGACAGAAATATACACAATCATATTAGACTGGTCCTTGATATGTTGGATTATTGTGACTGCCTTGATAATGATAGTCTGATCTTGTTTCTTGATTTTTACAAGGCATTTGACACAATTGAACACGCATTTTTGTTAAAGACTTTAAGGTTTTTGGGTTTTGGTGTTTCATTTTGTGGATTAATTAGGATGTTTTATAATGATATCTATAGCTCAGTCTCTTTAAATCCAGGACTTACTTCTAGATTTAAGATCCAGCGAGGCATCCGTCAGGGTTGTCCTATCTCCCCAAAATTGTTTATCTTGACTACTCAATTAAATTGGACAGATTTAATGTAACTAAGCATAAGTACACTGTTAAACCTTTGTTTAAATTAGTTAAGGCCTAGAGCCCAAATACAACAAGTGTCTCCTACAACAGGGAGGAAAAAGTGATTTTAGGAAAAAACATAATTCTGAGAAATGCATAAAGCTACAGCTTAAAAACTGTAAAGAACATGAAATGAACACTCAAACAGGGATATTCTTTAAAATTCCTATGTATAGTGTTAAATGTAGATTTATGAGAAAACACAAGATATGAGAACATAGAAAATTAACAACTATCCCATTACCAACTGGTTAGCAGCTAGCACGTGGATATAAAACTCCAAGAATTATAATACTGAATATTAATGTTTTACAAGTGAAGGTTTCAAACTAGACTGAATTATTTAATGAACACAAATGTTTAGATGTAACATGACAGCATGACCTCAATGTTTGTTATAACATCTGTTTGGTATGACAATATGATATGATGTGATACAATGATATGATACACTGATATGAGAATCCTGAATTATCTAAACTAGACTTGTGAAACTATAACTATGACTGTTCTTACTCTTGACCTTTTCAGTGATTAGACACAGTTTATAACAGATATTTATTGGCTGAGTAAAGATGATGGTCTAAAGAAAGTATAGTCACCAAGATGATTAGTGCATACACTTCACAGTAAGAATGAAATCCTTTGTGATACTTTTATACAATGGAATGAGTGAGATGATTAATTTTGAGGAAGTGAAAGTAGAGAATTTTAGAGCTAAAAGATTTGCTGCAAGTGCTTATTTAAATTATGTTTTAAACTTTTTCTGAAGCTATGTTAAAATTTAAGAAGCTAAAAGATCAACTCGGGGGAAAATGCTGATAAGGATAAATGGTCTTGAGCATATGTGTCAAACTCAAGGCCCGGGGACCAAATGTGGCCCTCGTTGACATATCATCTGGCCCCCAAGATGATATGTGAAACGTAAAATATTTCTCTCTCTTTAATTTTTTCTAGTAATCTTTGATTATGATGTCATGAACACAAGAAAGAACGTCAAATGAGACCAATCAAACACTTGTTGAGGAATTTGTGACCAAGAAAAGACGTTAGATATCTGATTTGAGTTAATGTAGATTATGAAATTGGCCCTTAATTTGAAAAAAGGTTTTAATTTTGGCCCCCTTTTGTAAGTGAATTTGACACCCCTGGTCTTGAGGATTGATTAAAACCTAAATGTAGAAATGTTGATAAAATACAAACGAGTACAATCCCAGTACTAATTGTGATTCTCCTGTTGACATGTTGTGTCCTGACACCTTGAGGCGAATGGAAAAACGAACACTGGCAACCAAAGGACTAGAAGGCTGCAAATCAACTGGTTCAGATCAAGACGCCACACCAGTCTATCTCCACGCCTCTCGCCAAACTGACTGCCAAGACGCAAAGAAACTTTGAGACAAAAGTGGAAAAGTGAAGTATGGAAATGAACGTGTTTTCAAATAAAAATGAAGTCCTTCTTCAGCAAAGTGTTTGAACAACTATAAAGACATTTCTTTTTGTTTTTGCCATCCATAAGGAATTGAACAGAACTGAACAGAACTGAACTGAACTGAACTGAAGAGCTAAGGCTCTTTATCTTCTTGATCTTCTTTATCTTTTATTTCCTTACTTTTCTAAGTTTCGATCGTTTTATTTCCTATACACTTCTTAATGTGTACCGATTCTCTTTAAAGTATGAGACTCTGAATCAAACTATTGATGTCCTTCAACAACTGAGACATCCCATGTTTTATATTTTATCATGTTATGTTTGCTTTTATCAATTATGTTACTAATTTGGTTACAACTCTATTCATACTGCACAAAATTCACAATTACTCAAAATGGTTTTCAATCATAAAGTGTTGAACAGAATTTTATTTGACTAATGCACTTGCTCCCTGCCTTAGAAATCTAATGGCAGAAGCTAGAAAGAGGGGTCTGGTTCTGAGGAGACATTTTTCCTGTAAATGACAGCAACAGGTTTTTTTGGCTCCTCGGGGAAGCAATGGCAACTATCCAATGAAATGACTGAGTGATCATATTTTGGTAAAGATCTTAAGTTTTAACTGTTACAACACCACTGTTTTACATTATCGCATATTCACACTGTACAGCACAATATAAACTTATAATTTAATCTCACACTTATTCATAATCTCTCAGTCACATATTTATACATCACTAAATATATCAGAAAAAAATGGCAGCATTAGTTTATTTGAGGGATTTCCTCAAATCAGGGAGGATTGTAGAATCTAAGAAACTTTATTAATTGGATAATCTGTTTTATAATAAGACCCAAGCAAATATGTCTTTGAACTTACAACAACTGTGTTCAACAGAACTTGTTTTAACAGATTCTGAGATGTGCTTGAAGTTGACCTGTACTTGTTTATCTAAAAGTACCAGGAATTTCTGGGCGTAAGATCAACTGCTTATATAAGAATGTTTCCCATCAGAACTGTTTTAACAACTAGAGTGTTTATGTCAGGCTGACCTAAGAAGAATTTGTTTCTCAAGGGTTTTCCTAAAATGGGAAAGGACTGATAAAAGTGGTAACCCTCTGACTTCAATGAAAGGTATAAATAAGAACAGAACTATGTTGAGACAGGGGTTCTGTCTTTTGAGGTCTCGAGGTATTTCTGGCTGTTCCACCTTAGAGGTAAAGCTTCAAATAAAACCCCCATTTTGCTGTCAAACAGAACCAAGGTGTCTACGATTTTATTTAATGAACCCAAAAGTATTTAATGTAGTAGCCACTACACTAGCCCTTCAAATTAATAGCAATCCTGAGGTAAAGGGAATTAACGTTTTTGATAGAGAATACAAGATTAGCCAATTTACCGATGACACAGCATTGTTTTTAAAAAATTATTTAATGGTTGAAAGAGCCCTTAATACAATTTCATTATTCTCTAAGGCTTCAGATCTAGGACTTAACATTAACAAATGTGAGATCCTTCCCATTCATAAGTGTATTCATAAAAACAGCCAGTCAATCAGAGTCGTACATGAAGTTAAATATTTGGGTGTACTAGTATCTAAGAACGCAGTTAGAAGGGAAGATGAGAACATCTCAAACCGCTTAGTAGATATGAAACAAAGTCTCAGCCATTGGTTGACAAGAGATCTGACTGTTTTTGGAAGGAACCTGTTGACTAAAGCAGACGGCAGTTCCAAGGCTGTTTCTCCACGTCGTTCTATGTATAGATCACCACTAAACATAAGAAAAGCCAATTCCATTATCTTTCAGTTTTTGTGGAAAAATAAGACTCATCATGTTAAAAGGTCCCAACGAGTTAAAAACATGAGCATGGTGGTATCAGTGCACCAGACTTTGAGGCAATGGTTGGAACATTTAGGACTAAATGGTTAAAAACTTGTTTACAACAACAAAATTCAATGTGGTTTCACATCCTGCCTCCATTTTTAAGCAGCTGGGAGGAACTGACTTCCTTGCAAAGTGTGACTTTGAAGTGACGAAGATTCCAGTTAAACTATCAAACTTCCACAAACAAGTTCTTCAGATCTGGAAAATGATATTTCACCATAACTTCTCACCTCATGGATCAACTCTGTGGAAGAATAGAGCAATCACAGTGGGCAGAAAGTCAATATTTAGAAAAGACTGGTATGAAGAAGGCATCATTTTTGTAACAGACATCTTGGATTGTAATGGAGATCTTTTAAATTTCTCATCTTTTGTTAGAAAATATAACCTTAGCTGCTGCCATAAAGATTTTATGAAGGTATGTAAAGCAATCCCTTTAGCCTTGATTCAGTTAATTAAAAATATCATTCTATATTCAAAGGTGACCGTTTCGATGCCACATTAAAACTAAATGACTGTAGTTTAGTTGATCTCAAATGTAATAATAAGATTATCAATCACTGAAGGTTTTATGTCTCAGACAGTTTTCGTGTAGGAGCTATTAGCGTTTCGTTTTTCATGGCGAGATGTCAAACTTTCAGGTCTGGCCCCGCCCCTTCAGCATGCCTGGAAATGAACCGATTAGATAACTTTTCGTCTCCCATGCCTTTTGACCAAAATGACCAAGTTTGAAACTGATTGAGCGAAATCCCTAGGAGGAGGAGTTCAAATGTGGAGGCTGTAAATCGCCAAAAAGGTGTGAAAATTGGGCCGGCATTCCAAAATGGCCGCCTTCCTGTTTTTTATCGTACAACGTTGGTGCCAGAGGGTTTTTTGTGCATCTTGGGGAATTGGACAAGTGTACCAAATGTCATGTTTCTATGACAAACTAAGGCTAATGTGGAGGGTATTTTGTAAATTTCTAGGTTGCGCTCTTGAGCCGTTTCTGTTGCAATTTTTGCCACGCCCTTAAAAAACATAATTTCTCACCAGTCCTGATGAGTCTGCCAATTTTGGTGACTTTTGAGATATGTTAAGGCCCCCAAAACGCCAATTCATTTGACGGAAAAAATTGCAGCTCGGGCCTGAACAGAGCGATTACAATAGGCCTTAGCAGCGCTTCGCTGCTCGGGCCTAAGCACTAATAGCAGTAAACAATCAAAACAATACGTCAAACAGCAACATGAACTTGAGTTTGTGCAGCCTCATGAATATATAACCAGGATAATCACTGTGAAAAATCACATGTTGCTGCTGATCAGTTTCATGTTGCTGCTGATGTGTTTCATGTTGATGTGTTCATTCGTGCTCATCTGTTCACACAGACTCATGTCCGTGCTGCTGTTCGGCGTATTGTGTTTATCATTTTTATGCTATTAGAGCTTATCATATTTAGGCCTGAGCAGCACACTGCGAAGGCCTAGGCCATCCATCCATCATCCATCCATCATCCATGCATCCTCCATCCATCCATCCATCCATCATCCA